GGAAGAATTTAGATAAGACGTGTATTCCCATAGATAGATCATATGTGTACACTGTTCTATCAGGACGTATTACATTAAAATCTTAAAAAATGAAAATACATCGCATATTTTTAATACTTTTATTAAAGAAATGAAAATTATAGACTTACAATTGGTGTATCTGCCGACAGCCAGCATATAAGAACTATTAATTTTTACAATGGCTTTACTTTCTTTTTCGCTTTTTTTACTTTTCCTCGTATATACATTAAATATTGTGTCAGTCATACTGGACTGAAAAATGTTTTAGCTTTAGGCACTCCCGTTATATGAATGATAGAGCTGACGTTTTTTTATATGTATGTTCAATGTTGAAGATTGAAAATGTAATAACGAAACATATCTTTTGTTACAATGCCTTTATCAGTACATTCTCTTTCCTGGCATCTATGTACCACTTCATAGACCGACGCGCATATAATTAAAATAAACAAAAGAAAATGTAAAATGGTACTATACCATGCTTCTAGGAATTCTGAAATTCTAGCATACGCCTGACGCTCTTATCACACACGTGAACAGAGATGGAGTCAAACTTCACAAACTTTAATTTTAAGAACTTTAGAATTTACAGTTGTACAGAGTCGGAAAAAATGTTTTCCAGGCGGGATAGAGCTCAAACCATAAATGATATAAAAATGAATTATATATCAACTTAATGCTTATCGAAAGTGGGATTGATGAGTATAATCGATATTCCGTATGACTATTATTGGCTGTAGAATTACGGAAATTTCTATTGCATGAGTCATAATGATTAAATTCTAGGTATAGTGGTGCTTTCAGTAAAAGTCCCATAACTTCATTAGAACAGAAGCTCTGTTCCTGATGACGACATGAGTTTCTGAGTTTCTAACTTCATATATATACACAGATATATGTATATGAGCACATTAAGTACTGAGTTTCTGAGTTCCTTACTGCAAATATACATACATATATATACGTTGGGGAAGTGATATTCGCGATCGCCGTTCGATTCTCTATCGAATGATGTGCAAAAAAGCCGAATCTATTTTCCACTCGAACTCTGCTTTCCGTACATCTTAACTACAGAATAGATTTCCCAGGGATCTTTCGAAATTCATAACTTAGTCAAAATCGATTCAGACCACGTAAGAATATCAGCATATTATGGTGACAATACTGTACAAATATATTGTATAAAAAGATTAATTGTACAATTATTTTTTTTCACAGTTTTCGACTCGATATATTGTATCCTCATAAGTCGTTCCTTTCATCAGCACAGGATTGATAGTGATTTGATGCTTCTCGGAAGAAACAATACATAACGGTCATTTACGAAGGATACATCAGGGTTTAATGGATGGACAAGACAGAAAACATCAATGAAAAAAAATTCAAGCAACAGTCTGACAAAATAATTTGTTGGTTTTTTTGGATGATAAACGTTTTAGTGGCGTGATCTGGTTTCAATCATTTTAGTATTTTCTGCAAATTTTTAAAACTTTTTGGAGCACTGATGTACCTTCTTAAAGAAGGAAAAAAAAGGTTAATTTCCGAATGATCGTGCAACCAGAGAGTTGAATAGTAGCGGAACTAACCTGTCGAATCTGGTTAGTAATCATTTATCGTCATTTGGTTGATGAACGACTTATTTCCGGAATATTGTAACGTCCATTTGTGAATGCATTTAACTGTTGTTTAATGTCAAAATGAACAGGATTTTTGAAGAGGACAACAATCCGATTGTGTAGGTTGTAAACTTCGTTTGATAGAAATAAATATTTCGTATAGTTTGTTAGTTCTTTTAATAATTCATGCGTCGTCTCCAATGAAAGTAATTCCAGTTTATCAACAGATATGATGGCTATTTCATAATCAGTTCCACTTAATTTTGTTATGTGCTAATTAACGACTGACCATCTGATTAATTCTACCTGACAAGTTACTGTTCTATTGTTTGCCTCAGCCATCCCTACAGAACGTACTTGATGCAAGTACTTGATTACTTGCTGAGTATTTGACAAGTACTTGGAAAAATTGGCAAGTGTTTTCAAAATTCCTCACTTGCCCTGTACTTTCAGAAGTACTCCTCAACGGTAAAAATACTTGCTTTTGTTGCTCAGAAGTACTAATCCTTGCCAAGTAAGGGCTTGACATACTGATTTCACTACGTTTTATCCGATTTTCTCTTCGGGAACATAATGCTTCAGTTCTGCTTTGCAGAAAAAGTCATTTAACACTTTATAGATTTATTTAGTCAGTTATATATAAAACAGTTTTAAAATATGCTAGAATTCATACATAACACCCAGGTGCAAGATTTACTTTCCGTTCATTGTTTTTTGTTTTAATTAGATTTTTTCCTCAGGACAGAAAAAGTAAAATATAATTTTGATTTTCAAAAAATAACCTTAAACTAAACGTATTCTTATTTTTCTTCGTTTAATTATAAGAAATAATATCCTTTTTTTAATGCGACTGTTTATAACAGAAGTTAATTAAAAGAGCATTCTCACTACTGCTGAGGAAAGAAATTTGATAACTTCTGAAACTGGACCTAAATGTTCTCGACGTACAAGGCATATCATCGGATGGAAATGTAGAATAAAAAGTGCCATAATATTTAATTATTGTTCTGTGTCATCGTAAAATAGATTAAGAGGCGTCTTCTATACAGATTTTTTACACTTTTTGTATGGTCGTTCATTTCACATCTGCTCGGTTTCTTTTGTTATTTCCGGACAAAAGTACTTTTCCATGGATAATCTGACGAATAACGCTAATACTTTATCGACATTCGATGATGAGTCAAGTCTAAGACGACGTATTATAACAATTCTATTATTAATAACATTTTCTATACCGTCACTGATCTGTTTTCTCTCGATATTCTATCAATTTATTCAATTACGTAAAGTATTGTTATTTGATCGAATTAATCATCATGTTATATTGTGTATATTAATTTGTGATTTTCTTTTGATATCAACTGAACTACCATTTTCATTAGTCTATCTTTCTCTGGGTCATGTTCCAACTATAAAACTTTGCACATTTTGGATTTATTGGGATTACACGCTTGAAACCACGTCTTTATTTCTAACTATGTATGCTTCAATTGAACGTTATTTACTGGTATTCCATAAAGAACGTTTTATAAAACGAAAAATTTTATGTCATTATATACCTTTGACAATTGCTTGTCTTTACATTCCTACTCTATACGTCTATTTTATTGTACGCTTTCCATGCACCGAATATCAGCAGTATAATCTAACTCAATTTGCCTGTGGTGGTGCTTGTTATGCATATGCTTTTATTGAAACAACATACGATACCATTGCTAATACAATGATACCCAGTTTTCTTCTGTTAATTTTTAATCTACTGATGATCATGCGTGTGATTTTACTGAAAAGAAAAATGTCTCCCACATCTTCATTGTCATCGAATACATGGAAAAAAAATCGCCGTATGATTTTACAGTTATTATCAATTAGTTTAACATGTTTAATAGCATGGATGCCGTGGGTGGTGATCATATTTGTACAAGATTTTTATGATTCATCGTTTGGTCAGAATTTTATAACCGTCGTTCTTCATTATTTACCATATTTTACAAGTTTTCTTTCACCATTTCTTGCACTGATCGGTTTAAAGGAAATACGGCAAAAATTAAGAGTGAAACGATCGACTGCTACCCCGAACTCGATTTCTGCAACAGCAGAAACAGCCAAAAATCAGAAGATTTTGGCATTAAATCAATTATCCCGTTTTTAATGTAACCTATGCGCAACAACTGTTGTTCTGATCTGAAAATGATTATCTTCACCTCATACTAAAGAAAATTTTTTCTAAATTGTTTTGTTGCTTCTGTTTTTGAAAATGTGGAAAATGTGTTCCTGCAATTCGGTACCCTTAGCAACATCAAAGGTGATTTTTGTGAATTGAGAACTTTTAGAATTTTGTATGAGTTTTTTCTCGCAGAACTAGTGTCTACATACAAACAAGCACCGAAACTAAGAAATTTTTATACTCCGTATAAGCCTATTTTCAAAAAAAAACCTGATCTCGGTCCCATTAAAAGCGGCGTGGGACCAGAATCGTCTTGCAGATCTCTAGGTCCCGGCCCCGTAAAAAGTCTCGCGGGACCTGGATGGACCGGAACCGTTCCTCAGATCTCTACTATGTGTACCTAATGAATTTTAAGTATTTAGTTCCACTATATGTTGTTGGTTAATGAAATAGTTGCTAAGTCAGGTATATTACTTAAACATTATAATGCACTATTCATAAAACAAGTATTATCAATATTAACAAGACTGTTTGTTTCTTAGCTCCTTTCAGCTAGATGTCTTTTTAATTTTGTCATTTTCTCTTACGATTTTGTTATGCCTAAACTTTGAAAGCGCGGTTCACAATGTCAAATTACAAAAGACATGTCAAAACCCGATATCGTGCAATTGCACGATAAATAGAAAATAAGATAGTCAAATATGTAAGAAGTTTTTTTGTTTAATAAAAGTATTAAAAATATGCGATGTATTTTCATTTTTTAAGATTTTAATGTAATACGTCCTGATAGAACAGTGTACACATATGATCTATCTATGGGAATACACGTCTTATCTAAATTCTTCC